GAATCCCCCATCTGAGATTAGGGTGCCATTATGTTGGATGCTTTATGTCATTTATAATTTATATCATTTATACTGACTCCCTAGATCAGTGGTTTCCAGACTGAGGTACCCGTAACCCCTAGGGGGATGTGAACTCTTGTCAGGAAGTACGTGAGAAAAATCCTGTAATGGCGGACAGCGTATGTTATTTAGTAAGACTTGCAATCTAATCACCGGTTAAACGCCTTTCTATTAAACCTGCAGCTGCCTTAGTGTACATTTCATTTCTGCTGTGCAAGGTTAACGCTATAAACACGTATAAATGCTACAAGTGTGAAGCCACATAGGCGTCATTAGTGAGGTTAACGCTAATGAGGCCTAATTCGCCTCGTTCTTACAAGCCGCTATTGACGTCTGGTGTCAGAGTTATGAGTTTTTAGTCTTCAATTCAGTGGGAAAATATTGATCGCTGGCTCAAGACTTGGACATTAGCAAAGGGGCAGAAGGAGAGGGGGTGGAGGGGAAGGAGAGGCCCCGAGATGGGACAGATTCTTCTGCAGGGCTAAGAGTATAGTTGGATAGATAAATAATATTGCTGGGTGGGTTAAGGGAACCACTGTTGTGGCCCCTTGTGTCATGTAGTAGTTTAGATAGTTTAGTGTCCTTTTTCTTTTGTAGAGAAGCAAAGCGTGTGTTCTAAATGGCTTGTCTAGTTTTTGTAAAGTCCAGCCACAAGGAAGTTTGTGTGGAAGGTTGTTTTTTTATGAGAGTCCTGCTTTGAGCAGGGGGTTGGACTAGTTGACCTCCTGAGGTCCCTTCCAACCCTGATATTCTATGATTCTATGAGAGTATCCAGTTTTGAGAGCTCATTCTTAATCTTTCCCTGTTTGCGGTAGAGGATGTTGATCAGGTGGTTCCACAGTTTCTTTGAGAGCGTGTGGCACAAGCTGTCAGCATAGTCTGCGTGGTATGTCGATTGTAATGGATTTTTTACCTTCAGTCCTTTTGGTATGATGTCCATCTGTTTGCATTTGGAAAGGAAGATGATGTCTGTCTGTGTCTGTAAGAGTTTTTTCATGAAGTTTATACTACAAAAGGTTCCCCCACCCCACCCCACCCCCCACTCTCCTGCTGGTAATAGCTCACCTTTCCTGATCACTCTTCTTACAGTCTGTATGGTAACACCCATTGTTTCATGCTCTCTGTGTATATAAAATCTCCCCGCTTATTTTCCACTGTATGCATCCGATGAAGTGAGCTGTAGCTCACGAAAGCTTATGCTCAAATAAATTTGTTAGTCCCTAAGGTGCCACAAGTGCCCCTTTTCTTTCCACAGAATAGGGTTTCACTTGTGCCAGTTGGTGATCAACTCCTGTGTTGCTAAAATAAAAGAGGAAAAATAATCCAAAGGCAGATCACAAGGTAATTTGGTCAGGTATCTACATGCCATTTCACCGACATCTCCTACACAACAGATCTATATTAGCCAACCTTTGTTATCTATTTTCCAGTGAATTATATTAGCCCAGGATCTGACTAACTTTCCTAACTATCCAACATAAACTCCTACATTTATGACAGACTATGCAGATTGAGTGCACCTGGAACCTGAAATCAGTGTGAAACCATTAATTACACACAAGTACAATTCTACAGTCTTAGTTAACAAAAGTAACTTGTTCGGTTTTAAAGTACTTTACAACAATCTTGACTGGAACCTGTTACAAAACAAATACACAAATGAAGTTTGTAACTATCTCCACAGTACGCACACAAGCACTCATATTTCCTTGCTAATTAGGTACTCAGTTTCAGGAATTATTCAATTGGCTGATATTGGTCATCGCCCCAGAGGAAGTCTGTGTGTTGCTGATCATGAGATCTTGTTCATCCATCAGCTTTCAGCTCAGTTAGCATTCAGAGCAGGAGCTGATACTGAAAAAACAGGTGGAGTGGTGCTAATGGGCAGCCCAAAGCGCTGGAAAATAAAAAGAGACAGTTGAAGGGTCCTGTCCAAGATAAATATTGTAGGTGTCACCAGGAGGACTCAAAGGTGGCTGGCCGAGGACCTCAGTCTTCTCTCTTCCAGATGTTTTCAGCTTTGAAGAAGCAATGTGCTGAAGGAGATGGACCATTTTATCCAATTTCTGCTGGGTGATTCAACTTGGCTCTTCTTCTTGAAGGCAATGGCTTGGACAAATCAGATGGTGACCTAGACTTCTTCTGAAGATTGAAAAGGTCCAAACAAAAGGAGAGTTGTCCTCTCTCACCATCCCATCAGGGAATGAGACATCAATTTTTGAGGTCTTGTAAGTTATGCTTGCTCAATTTTCAGTTTCTCCATCAACACTCTGCTAGCTGCTGAAATGTTCAGTTTAAAGTTCATATAAATTATACAAAGTTCCTCCATATTCTTCACTGTTTTTTAGACTTGATTTTGACAGTTCATCATACAATACAAAGTTCCTTCAAAAACTGTTTTGCTCCAACAAGCCAGAGCAGCTGGAGCAGTTTCTCCTTGTTTTAATAGCAATGGTGGGACCTTGGTATGTATGGCTTGTAGGGTTGCCAATTTTAGTTGGACGTATTCCTGGAGGTTTCATCACATGCCATAATCTTTAATTAAAGATTAATCTTTCATTCCTAAAGACTCCAGGACAATTCTGGAGGGTTGCCAACCCTGGCTTGGCTGAGTTTGTGTATTATTAACCAAACAATTACATTTCTAATTATTCTACTCTGTGGTCAAGTGTCCTTATAAACACACAATTTGGTTTCAGTTCCTTTTATTTAGTACCTTGTTCAGCACAGGTGTATTTCACTAACTTGATAGCATAAGCATGCTTGACTGCAAACATTAGCCTTACTTCTTCACTTTATCACCTAAACTAAAAGAAATCAGTACGAATGCAACCCCTTTCTTTCCTAACAGGACTGCTCACAAGGAAAACCCCCTCATGAAAGTTTATATATTTTACCCAAAGCTGTACCACTTACAATTGACTTCCCTTTCATATGCATTTTAATTATAATATTAGATTCCATCATGTTCCCTATTTTACTACTGTATCTGGAACATCATATAACACCAATGTTTGATATTAATTTAATTAATTAATTTTAATTCATTTACTTTTTCACAGCCAGCGATAAAGGGGAAGTCGCTTTAGTTACACCAGCGGTACGCTCTTGCAAAAGACTGTAGCAACTCTGAGCTTCCTTTTGCAGAAATCTAGCCATCAGACCTTGGGTTTTTATTTTTTTAGCCCTCTGTTCTTTTCTACAAGGCTGGGCAATTCTTAAATAGTAAAAAGAAAAGGAGTACTTGTGGCACCTTAGAGACTAACCAATTTATTTGAGCATGAGCTTTCGTGAGCTACAGCTCACTTCATCAGATGCATACCGTGGAAACTGTGATAGTAAATAGTAATAACTGATCATTTTGGAGCCCCAGTTACTATAGAATGTAGCACTTCAGTTGAGAATTTCAGTGCACTAAACTCAGAAAGACCAATATTTAAAAGGAGAGCTTCTGATTTGTCACTGTTTTCCACCTCCTTGCAAGGGCTTCATCTAGAAGGGGTAAGTACAAAGTTCAGTGGGAACAACAAGTATACAGGTCTTATCAGGATCAGGCCCTTGCTGCAGCTGCTAATCTGCAGTCTGCCTTCTCCTCTCCTCTGATTCGCAAAAAGAAAAGGAGTACTTGTGGCACCTTAGAGACTAACCAATTTATTTGAGCATAAGCTTTCGTGAGCTACAGCTCACTTCATCGGATTGATTGATTGCCTCTAAATCATGCATAGACTATGCAAATGGGAGGGAGGGTAGCAGCAGCAGCCTTGTTCTGTGTTTGCTTACAGGGATCAGGCACAGCGGCAGTCCCATTATTTAAGGATGTGCTGACAAGTTATGCCAATGTAGGGAGGAAGGATGGGCACACATGATATACTGTCCCAAAGGAAGATACAGCATGTGCAATTCCTTCTATATTCCAGAAAATCTGTAGAGGGATTGTGGCTCCCAAGCACTTCCTGGATCTCCCTGAGGATGACTGTTTAAATCAGATGGGACTGTTTAAATCACACCGTATGGCCTGATATTCTTTTTCCAGCTAATTTTATTGGGGTTATTAGCTGGGATCCTGATCTGCTCCTCCTAAGGTCAATCAATAAACTCCTATTGGCCCAGGACGTTCAGCTGACATTACAATATCAGCCCACCAATAAAATAAGATGACCCTAAAGCATGCAGTGTATAGCAGAGACACTACCCTTCTCCTCTCCCTTCCTAACCAGTGACAACAGGCGCCCGGGAATTTGCACTGAAAAGAACCCCTCAAACACAGAAACTGGGTCCAACATTTTTCCAACCTGCAAAGAAGTTTGGTTTCACCTCAGAAACAGGCAGGAATCCAAATCAGCTCTTGTTTTGGGCCAGATCCTGAGAGTGGTTGCCTGAGCATCTCTGGATGGGCACCACTCACCTCCACACTCCCGCCAAAGTTAGGAATCACTCAGCATTTCTCGGGATCAAGCCCTTTATCAGAGTCACTTTACCTGTCCCTAAACAATCACAGGACACTTGCCCCCTCCATCCTAGAGTTGCATGATGTTACTATCCTCAATTAAATTAGTGTACTCTGTAATTTTTGAGTGCAGTGTATTATTTCTGTGCTGATCTCTCACTTTCACTCCCATTGGTTTCATGTTCCCTTTTTCTGGGTGGAAAAGCTTTTAATCTGATCCATCTTAATTTATCCTGGTTCCACCCCCTGGGACTTTCCTAACTTCCTTCTGTAAAGGGAGGAAAAACTGACACAAGCATAGTACGTGCACCTCTCCAAGCTTAGCAAAAGTGGTGCTCTGTCTGTCTCCCTGAACTGGGTTTCTCTGTAGGCGGTGCATTCCTTGGGAGGGAGGGTGCATGTGTGTGTGTGGGGGGGGGAGAGCCATCCCACACTCAAGTGAGCTCTTATTTAATGGGGGTCTCCATGCAGGACAGCAAGCAGAAGAGATTTTCCTCCTCCCAGATTCTATTCCAAGGGAGAGGTGCACAAGCCAGTCACAGGGATGCAACACAGTGCTGAAATACCCCTGGAGGAAGCAGTTCATATGACCAATCAAGAATCCGGAATGGGTGTCAGGGAGGATCTGAAGAACATACGCTGTGCTGTCATTTTTTGCTTGTTCTCTGTCCTAGCCCTGGCATTGCCCACAGCCTATCTACTGGTTGGAAATCTCAGAGCCTACAAATCTGGCCCAGCTCAGGTAAGGAAATGCCATTTCTCAGTGATCTTAAGGAAAGGTTAAGAAAAAGACAAGAGAGTTTCTTTAAATATTTGGGTTTGGAGAAAGAGTTTGTGGCTTCTTGCTTTATGGATTTACGATTTCAAGGAAGAATGTTAAACAAACTTTTTATTTCTTGCTTGCTTGCTTTTTCTTTCTTTCATACACACAGTGAGGAAGGAGGAGGAAATCAGTTTTTTAATAGGCAGATTTTTCTTCATTTCTCTTTCTTGAGTTTAATAGGGTCAGAGGAGCAGGAACAATATTAAATCCTAACTGGCAGACTGAAGAAAACTCTATAGTCTAGCTCCTCAGCTAGTGTAAATTGCTGGTCGTGCCATTGAATTCAGCTGGGGATCTGGCTGACCATCTCTGTTCCACCTTTTTCTGATTGAAGCTGAGAGCTCTCTCGTCTCTTATTACAGGCTGAAAGGACCCTATTTCACCAGCCACCTGCTAAATGTCATTAATGTGTCCATCCATCTATTTGTGGGTTGTGTTTGTGTCAAATACCCATATGTGTGTGTGTGTATCAGATGGGTGAGAACTATTCATTTCAGCACCAGAGTCGCATGCGGATTCAGATTTCCCTGGGATTTACTATGGTGGTCCAGTCTGGGCTAATTATTGGGAGTGACCCTAATCCCAACATTCAAATCCTCATCTAAATCCTGATCAAAAGTTTCCCAAAGTTCAGAAGCACTGGATTCAGGGGATAGTTGCAGGTCCATCTCTAATAAACAGCTGGACATCTATCTCCACATGCATACCTCTGTAGGTATGTGTCTTTCAACTCTGTGCTGCTGCCCTCCACATCAGCTTTTTAAGCAGGTGCATATTCTCATTGATGTCAATGGGATTACCCACCTGCTTAAAAGGTAAGCCAATGTATGATTGTTTGCAGGAGCGAGACCTTCATGAATTTCAGCTTTACGCTTGAAGTTCACTCTTTGCTCATATGTATGAACAAAGCTTCAATTGAATGAATACCATGAACAACAATAATCAAGAGGTACTAATATACTGAATATGAGCCTTATTTCTATTCTGGCACTAGGTTTTTACACTCTTTGACATGCAGTTGTGTAGATATAGGTACAAACACACACACAGTGAAATCAGAGCTAGGGGCTCACTTCTAATACATACAGTTCTTGGTCAAAGACTTTATAATCTCTCCAGGGTGTCAAATACAATATTAGTTCTAGACTGTCTTTACTTACTGTGTTTGCTGGTTGCTTAGATGAATGCGTAAGGCAGATTTCCTGTTTATATCCACATCTGTACAATGTGTGTGAGTGCATGTTTGTATACGGAGAAGCTGTATAAAACTGCTTAGAAACACACAACTCTTAAATCAGAAATTCTCTTCCCAGCTTTCACATTGACTCACTGTGTGGCCTCGTGACTTTGGTGAGTCACTTAACTGCTCAGTGCCTCTCGCTGTCTGCTATTGTGGTTTCTATAGTGCCCATTACTGTAATACCTTAGCACAACACCTTACACTGAATTCTGAATGGTTGGACTTCTGCATCTGGGCAGAGTTTACTGCTGACTTTAGTCCCTATACTGTCAGCCTATCAGTGCAGGGACTGTGTCTTTCTATATATTTGTACAGCACCTAGCACAATGGGGGTCCAGATCCTGGTCGGGGCCTCTACATGCTGCCACAATTGAAATAATAAAATAACAATCTGTCAAATGAGATTAAAATTTACCTGGCTCACAGGTGTGTTGTACATTTTAACGAAGTAATGCTGGTGAATGCCCCTGAGATCTTCAGATAGAAGATCCTTTGTAAGCATTAAGGATTGCTTCATTCTGGACAATATTATTGTATATTATATTTATACATATTCATGAAAGGTAATTAGTGCATGTCTCTTGATATTACTCTAATATCTGGCTGTTATGATCGAATGAAGTATAGTATATGAAAATCCCAGTCTGCAAAAGTAAAATCATCATAGCTGGAAACTTGCCATCTGTCTCTCTGCCAAGTGGAGAGGGCGGAACATACTTATCCTGCTGTATTATTTACTGCACTCAATAAACCTTTCACTTGCTCCATTGAGAACTGAGTCAGTCAGTGACTAGCAGCTGTGAAGTAGTCATGGGTGTGTTTGACTTTCCTTGAGAACTTTCTTCTAATGCCTCCAAAAACCAGTGCTCTGAACTGAATATGGGTTCCTCATATGTGCCCTGTCCTGTAGCCATGACCCATAGGAGCAGCTCCTTTCATTCCAATGGGAACACTATCAGGAATGCAGGTGCTCCAACAAAGTCTTTTCTTTTCTAAACATTTTTTTAAAAGAACCCAGAAAAATCCCTTTTGATCTAATTCATTCCCATTAGTCTTTTAAAAAAATTGAATTGTACTGGTTAAGGGCATCTTTTTGTCAGACCACCCTCCATCATAATTAGCCGTCCCATCTAAGAAGAAAAGGACTGAGGGCTAAATGGTGGTTTGACCTCTCAGAAGGGAGTGAGAGCCCCTGCCTACCCCCAACCACTTACAGTTCTGCACAGGTTCCCTGGACTTTCGGTCTGGGCATGTAGGAATAAGCTGAAGCTGTGTTCCCATTGATTGCCCCTGAAAGCAGGTGGACTGCTTGCTGCCCTCTAAAGCAGATTAGTGGTGAGGAGACCAGTGGAGAGGATAATGGGAAAAGCCTTCTCTCGTCTCCACGACAGTGCTGAGTTGCTCGGCTGAGCTGCCCTGGGAGTGGGCGTTCATTTTTTGCCATGTTATAAGCTAGCCGTAACTCTTTTCCCTCAGGAGAAAGAGGGAAGCGGGTGAGGGAGTTGTGCCACAAAGGGGTGTCTCTCCTAGGTCTATCGCAGGGCTGGTGCAGATTACATGCCACCCCTTGCACATGCATGTGCCTAAAGTCATATTCCAGCCCGGGACAAGCTTAGACTGTTGCCTGATCTTTAGAGGCATCCCTTGTGGGATAGAGCACCTGATAGGGACAACCTGGGCAAACTGGAAATTCTGCTTTCCTCATTGTATTGCACCTGGTCTGTGTAGAACTATGGGGTTTACGCTCCAGAGCTGCCTGCCTCGGTATCTTCCACCATCACCAACACCCGCCCCCTTTTCAAAATAACCGATACATCTTTTGTGCCCTAATTCTGAAACAGCTGCATCGCTGTCCCTTAGTGGTGTGGTGGCTTCAGCAACACATTTGTTTACCTGGCTAAATTTCATGTTATTGACTTTATTTAGAATATAACGAGCACTTAGTTCCTGCCATAGAGCCAACTAGTGGAGTGACGCACAGCTAGGAATGTGCCAGTTGCTGCCTTATCAGTCTTCTCAGTTAATCATCTGTAAATGAAAAGCAAAGTCTTAATTGCTGCTCTTTGCACTTAACTCCCATTGATGGCACTGGGATTTGGAGAGGTGGGTCAAAGGAGTCCTGAGGCTGGCAGGATCAAGTTTAGAGGGAAATTCACCCAAATAGAGAAGGGCAACATAAGGGTCTGCAGCTCACTTTGAACTCAAGCTGCGACTGTGAGAATGGTCTGCAGCCATGCAGACAGGCCTCCAAAGCCCCCAGCTGTGGCATGGATCTCTCCAGGCCAGATCTGCACTGGCCAGCATGGAGGCCAGTGATGAGGGTCAGAAGAGGAACCGAAAGGAACCATATTTATGCAAAGCCAATGGCCTCAACATACCATGCAAGTGGCGGAGGGAGGCTGAATCAGCTACCCCAGGACATAGGCTGGAGGAACGGCTGTGGGTGGGCTGAGGAGAAGCTTCACATCCTGGCCCCAGGTGTGTAGTTTTCACCTCCCAAACTTTGCCTGCATTATCACCACGGCCCAACTGGATAGTAATGACTCCGGCTTTATGCAGGTATCCTGGCATTTCCCTTGTGGCCCAATCCAACTCCCATGAAAGTCAGTGAGTCTTTTGATCGGCTTACATGGGAGTCGGATCAGGCCCTTAAAGCACAGGTCAAGCTTAGGCAATATTCCATGCCTGGAAATGACACAAAATAAATTTGGTGCATATATTATATCAGGAAGAGGAGGTGGATGAGGCATTTCTAGAACAAATAAAAGAAATAGCCAAAACATCAGACCTGGTAGCAATGGGGTATTTTAACAACCTGACAACTGTTGGAAAAGTAATATGGTCAAACACAAACTCTCCAGTAAGTTCTTGGCATGTATTGCAGACAATTTTTGTTCCAAAAAGTGGAGGAAGTCACCAAGGGGACAGGTGTTTTAGATTTGATTCTAACAGGGAGAAATGAGTAGCGAATCTGAAGGTGGAAGGCAATTTGAATGAAAGTGACCATGAAGTGACAAATTTCATTATTCTAAGGAAAGGAAGGTGTGAGAGCAGCAGAATTAGGACAATGGACTTCAGAAAAAAACAGACTTTAACAAACTCAGAGAACTGATAGGGAAGGTCCCATGGGAAGACAATGTAGCGGAAAAAGAAGTTTAGGACAGTTGTCCGTTTCTTAAGGAAATATTAAGGGCACAATTGCAAACTATTCCAATGCGAAGGAAAGATAGAACCATATTGGCCCCTTCCTATTCTTCTTATCAGGAGCTCTTTAAATGACCCCAAAATCAAAAAGGAATCCTACAGAAAGTGGAAACATGGGACAACTGCTAAGAAGGATTACAAAAGAATAGCCCAAGCATATAAGAACAAAATTAAAAAGGCTAAGGCACAAAATGAGTTACACCTAGCAAAGGACATAAAAGTCAACAAGAGGAGGTTCTTTGAATACATTAGAAGCAAGAGATACACAAAGGAACATGTAGGTCCTTTATTTAGAGGAAAAGGAGCACTAATAACTGATGACATCGAGAAAGGTGACAAGGTGTTTAATGTTTATTTTGCTTCAGTCTTCACTGAAAAGTTTAATGGTGACAAGATACTCAATAGAATTAATATTACCAACAAGAGGAAAGGCATGCAAAGCAAATAGGAAAACAACAGGTTAAGGAAATTTAGA